GCTGTCCAGTGCATGCTTGGCCCAGCGTCTCTGGGCAGGCACTGGCTGGAAGCCATCATCGCTGGCGGGACTCACACCACCGCTTACCACAGTGCCACATGGCACGCAGCTGGGGCGTGGCCTGCCCTCCGGTGCGTGAGTCCGCTGCTAGCTCCCAGCGGCCAGCTCCCGGGCACTTGGCTGTGTGGGCTCAGCCTCAGCAGCATTTCTTCTCAGTGCCCTCTGCAGGCCCCCAGCCCCCAGGCAGGACCCTGAGCGCAGCCACCAAGAGCTAAAGACGTCACAGAACAGTCCAGAACACTGCAGGCTAACAGCTCGGGAACGCTCCCTATGACCCTAACATCAGGGGTCTCCAGGCGGAGAGCCCCAGCCAGGGCACCCTTGTGCTGGTGAGTGTCCTGGGAAAACGCTCGGAATGCCCGAGGACGACTCCGAGGAGTGACACGCTCAGGGCAAGTCACAACCCGCTGCGGGGTTGCCAGCGCCCCCGGCTCACAGAGTCCCTGGGGATCTGCTCAATGACAGACTATGCTAGGAAAAGGGCCTCTTGAGCAACTCCCCTTTACCCCACTGGGGAGCCGTTTCAGCCAGGCAGAGGAAGGCAGTGCCTTGGGTGTCTTGGAGAGCCCTTTCAGGACGTTTGGCTGGACGGGCAGGTGCCCAGAGCCGGGTCTGGAGCCGTGGGAGTCACCCCTCACTGGCAGGGTGTGTATATATATACATTTTTTTTTTGAGAGTTTTTTGGGCACGCGTGCTCACCAGAGTGACTCAGAGAGACAGAGAGACAGAAAGCGGGAAATCACTCCCCAGGGGGGATGGGCACGCCGCAATCCCCGGGGTTGGCCATGCTGCAATCCCTTCTCCTCCATTCTCCTCTGGGGATCTGGGGCACGCACGCACATGTGCCCGGCGTGAGTTTAAGCCACTGTGTCCAGGACTCGAACCGCGGTCGACTGCATAGGAGTCCGGAGACATAGCCATTACGCTAACTGCTGGTCCTGTAGGTTTTAAGGGGCTCTAAACTGCCCTCAACTCTCACCCCATGTTCTAAATGCAGTCTCTCCTCAATGTCAGCCTTCTCCAACCTTCTCCAGACAAGGACCTCACGGTAAATCTCAGAGCCAGGACTCTGGAAGGAGGAGGAAGGCGCGCTCCGCCCCCTGCCAACAGGAAGCGCCTGGTGGTGGGAGTGACAGGTGCCCCCGCCCGACCCGCATCAGGAAACACCCCCTGGCGGAGGAACAGCAGGGCCGCACCTTGTAGAGCCGGTCCTTCTTGCAGAGCGCCAGGCTCTGGGCCCAGCGGCTGCTGCCCTTGTACAGACCGGCCGCGATGCGCCTGAACTCCATCAGCGGGTGCTCCTCCAGCCGCCGCGCCAGGCCGAGGCTGGGCGAGGTGTCACA